CGGTAAGGGCCAGAGGAGGCTGGGGGCCTGGCCCTGGCCCCCCCGCGCTGCCGGCATGCACCTGTGGAGCACGCGCGCCAAGCATGCGGGGGGCGGGCGGGGAACGCGGCCGGCTGCACCCTCAGAAGGAGGGGACCCACCAGAGTGGACGGAGTGGAGGCTGGGCCGGGGGCACTTGCCCCGGCCGGGGCAAAAAGTCCCTGGGGATCCTTGGTCTTGCACCGCGGGCGGCACAGAGAGAGAGCGATAGAGAGAGAGGCATTGGCTGTAGGGGATCCCAGCCTGGCACCACGGGGGTTGGACTGAGCGTGTGGAAGCTTCTCCTGTCATTGCAGGGGGACAGGGACAGATTAACACTGTAGGTGATCTCAGCCTGTCACGAAAAGGGAAGTGTTGGAGAGTCTGTCCTGAGAAGGAACAGAGCTCCTTTCTTGGTACTGTGGAAGCAAGAGAACAGAATACTCTTGGTCATTCAGGATTCCTGAGTTTGGAGCAGGGAACCTGGACCTCCAGACCCCTTCACAACCAGTTTTCAGGAGGTCCACATGCTGAGCAGTCCAGACATTGCTAAGCTCTTGCTCCTCAGTCCTAGTCACTCTTGGAAATCTCCTTGACTGCCTATCTTCTCTAACTTGGAGCTGGACACGGGAGCTGGGCAGAGCTCTCTTTGTCCAGATAGAACAGCATCTGGAGACCACATCATCCCCTTCCCTGCTCTCCTGAGTGGCTGTGAGATTTGATCACAGCAGCAGGCCTTGGCAGTCTGCCCTGCCCACCTGCTCACTGCCTCCCATTTGTGCTCTTCCTCCTCAACAGTATCCACACCGGGGACCGACCCTACAAATGTGCTCACCCTGGGTGTGAAAAGGCTTTCACCCAGCTTTCCAATCTGCAGGTAAGGGGCCAGGCATGTCCTGCTTGCCAGTGGGGGTGGCAAGGGTGCCTGTGGTGGAGGAGATGGAAGAATTGGGGCAGCTGGGAGGAGAATGAATGACTACAGAAAAGCTACTGAAGCCCTGGACAGGGGAGAGACTCCTGACTTTTGTAGCACCAGTGACCCAAAGGAGTCATGTAAAATTGTAAACTTGCCTTGAAAGTGGTGAGACCTTGGCAAAGTTCCTCCCATCTGTTCTGCAGTTTTCTAACTTAGCTGGGGCAAGACTTTTGCGAAATGTTACACAGAATAAAGTCTGGGTATCTGATTAGGTTTTTCCTTTCTTCTACAATGAAAGGGTGTAAGAATAGGGAATTAGAGAAGCGGAGGTGATGGGTCCTCTTGCAATATCCTGGAGAAGAAGAACGTAGGGTGCACCAAATGGCAAAGAGGTGTGAACACCTACAAGCAGTTTAAGCAGATTCTACCCTGAAGGTGTCAGATGCAGGAAATAAGTGCATAGGGAGGCAGAAGAGGAGAGACCAAGAAAAGGAAAAGACTGAGAAAGAGTTGCATGGAAACAGATGATGAGGGCTGTAGAGTGTTAGGAGTCTCTGCTTTTCAAATGCCTAGTACACCTGAGAAGAAAGGACATGTGTGAGAAAGATATGGTGGACTGGAGGGAGAAGTTCTGTCCCCTACGCTAGGAGCCAGATGTACCGTCTTTAGCAGCTGAGAGCCTAGGGAGCTTGGGGCTTGCTGGAAGGGGGTGTCAGAGGTAAAGCCACATCCAGTACTAATACTTGCTTCCTTCCTCATGCTTGCTTCCTCTTCCCTCTGCTGCTGCCCGCCAGTCCCACAGACGGCAGCACAACAAAGACAAACCTTTCAAGTGCCACAACTGCCACCGTGCGTACACGGATGCTGCCTCATTGGAGGTACACCTGGCCACGCACACGGTGAAACACGCCAAGGTCTATACCTGCTCCATCTGCAGCCGGGCCTACACCTCGGTGAGTGTTCGCTGCCCTGGGGGTAGCGGAAATGGACACACTTCCCAGAGAGCAGCCGTGGGAGCAGCCCCCTGAGCTGTCATGTCCCTCCCTGTTGGCTTTGGCTTTTGTGTGTGTTATTCCCAGCTCTCACCCCGTTCTTCCCGTTGCAGGAGACGTACCTGATGAAGCACATGCGGAAACACAACATCCCTGACCCACAGCAGCAGGTGGTTCAGGCACAAGCCCAGGCCTCGCAGCAGCAGCAGCAGCACTTCCAGCCACAGGGCGGGGGGGCAGCAGGGGGCCCTTCTGGAGACACTAACCAACCCAACCCTCCCCCTCAGTGCTCCTTTGACCTGACTCCTTACAAGACTTCAGAGCATCACAAGGACATCTGCCTCACTGTCAGCACCAGCGCCATCCAAGTGGAGCACCTCTCCAGCTCCTAGAGAGACCTCAGCCCAGGGAGCAGAACGCCTCTTGTGCATAGCCTGTGCCCAGGGGCACCGCGTGTGCAGCGGCCCTCCTTGTGCAACAGTCTCCGGCCTCTCCTCCTGCAACAGCCTCTTCTGGCCGTGTAACCCTGTTCATGGCAGCCCCTTGAACAAGAGCCTGTCTCAAGGGGGTGCTCCTTCTGTGCAACAGCCTGCCTGGTAGGAGGATGCTTCCTTGTGCAAGAGCCCCTTTCCTGTGCTGGGATCAGTTCCTCATGCAAGAGCCCCTTCTTTCAAACCCAAAGAAAGGCCCCCGTTTTGCCTTCTCTCTCACTGTAGGATGTGTATGAAGGGGGGTTGCGTGTTGAGACACACGTGGTGGATGGGATGGAGAGTCCCTGTATGTACAGGGGCTTGGACACATGTTTTCAGCAGGCCACAGAAGAATGTGGCAGGGTTCACAGCTGGATGGGGAACTTTGAGGGTTGCCTTGAGTGTCTGAGAGAAATATCCATTCCTGTCCCTCCTGCTTGTGAAAGGGAGGAGGGGTTGCTGGTCCTGCCCCAAGGACTGGATGGGAGAAACCTTCTCCCAGGTGGAAGGTGAGACCAGTGGAGGGGGGAGAGGTGAGGTTCTCTGGGCCAGACAGGTGCCTACACTGCCCAAGGGCTGTGGAGTATTGCATTCTTCTCCCCTGGTGGGGAGCAATAGAGAGGAGTCTGTCTGAACTGGCTGCAGCCTCTCTCTCCCAGCTGTCTGAGCAGCACAATGGCCAAGGCCCCATAGGAATGTGGGTTCCTGCTCATTGCTCTTTCTGCCTGTCGTGGATGATATCCTAGCAGCTTGTACTCCTCCTCCTCTCCCTCCTGCTTTTCCCCCACCTCCTCCAAGAAGCCTGCAGGCATCAACAACAAACCAAAAAACAACTGGAGGGAGGGTAAGAGACTGCCAAAATAATCATCACCCTTCTCTCTACTCCCTTTCCTGAAAGGTGGAATGACAGCAGTTCTCTCACACACCTGTCC